ACTACTTGATCACTTCACTAGATGAAAGTAATTTTCTGGGTTCAACACAAGTTCTCATATTGGAAAAAAAAAAACCTCACCGTTACAGTAATGCACAAAGCCAGTTTTCCAGAGGGTTTAAAAAAGCAGAAATGTAAAGCTTTTTGTTTTGTTATTTTGTACATTATTTAGTAAAATGAAAGAAACACATAAAGTGTCTGCATTGTTCTTTCCAAAGTATAGTGAGGCTGCTTTCTAGATGCATGAACTTCTGGTGAGGTGCTGGAAGATGCTGAAACTACATAAAAAAAGCATCAGCAGGTTGCACACTTCTGAGGGATCATATGCCAGGCAAAAAACTACAAAATATGAATGCTAATGGATCGCACTCTCCAGGTATTATGGACCTCACTGGTTTGCTGAATGTAAACCGTCTCTATCCTCATGCATATTGTAAACATTACTGGCTTTTCACTGCAAAACATTTTATTTTTGTCTTGTTTTCGAGTACAAATATCTGAACATTCTTAAATGAAGATACTTTTACTTAAAAACAAAATGACTTAGGACTTGTTTTCTGAAAAAAAAGTATCAAAAAGTTTTGATAAAACAGCTGATAAAAACATCACAATAATCCACACCACTCCAGTCCATCAGTTAACATCTGGAGAAGACAAAAGATGTGTGTTTGTAAGAAACAAATCCATCATTAAGACGATTTAAATGTAAATTATTCCTTCTAGCTAAGATACGAGTCCATAATCTGTAATAACGCTTCCTCCAGTGAAAAAGTCATCTCCTGTTGGCTCTCGCATCAAAATCCACCAACATGTTTGTTTAGAGCTGTTTTTTGATCTGAGCAGATTTCGCTCCTGATTCAAAAGTTAAAAACATCTTAATGATTGATTTGCTTCTTATAAACAAGCAGCTTCTGGCTTCACAAGACATTAACTGATGGACTGGAGTGGTGTGGATTATTGTGATGTTTTTATCAGCTGTTTGGACTCTCATTCTAACGGCACCCATTCACTGCAGAGCATCCATTGCTGAGACACTGATGCAATGCTACATTTCTCCAAATCTGATGAAGAAACAAACTCATCTACATCTCGGATGCCTTGACGAGTACATTTTCAGTACATTTTCATTTATGGATGAACAATTCCTTTAAATTTGTTTAACTCATTTAGCTTCTCAAGTAAATGTTTTGACATTTGTACTGGAAAATGACAAAAAAAGGAAGTAAGAAAATCATTTTTTGCAGTTTACCAGCATTTTGTGATCGTGACATTGAGGTTTGAGGGAAAGGTTTACTCAGACAAGGTACTAATTCTACACTATTTCAAATTGAACACCCACAGTGTGATGTCTTTTGAAGCAATCTGTAAATGCTTTAGAGCTGAACTTGCATTGAACCAGAAGTCATTTCTTGTGCTTTCCAGATCTAGTCGAGATGCATCAGACAAAGATGTCTGTTTAATGCAATGTGACCTGATACTTCAAGAACAGTCATTACATTTTGAACCAAAACACCATGCAGTCAAAGACATTACCTAGTGCTATTACTCAGTGTTACACATTTAAACAGGATGTTTTCATAGCGCCATTGAACTACAGCCTGCTGAATCAGCAGAAAACAGGCATGAATCAATAAGACGGCAACAAAAGACAGAAAATCAAAGCTCTGCCCTTCATCTAGACACGTCTTTCCATCATGTAGTATCTGTAAGACATCAGTCCTGCTTCATCTCTGCGCACAAAAAGCACAAGAGAGAAGATCAGATCACTGTCTATTTGGAACAATCGTCTGAAATCAGTCCCTCGGGTTCGCCTGCGCTCACATTTCTGCTCTTTACACTTACAGCAGAGCTTCTCAAAGACATCACGCTACTCGCTTTGGGGCAGCAATCTTATAATTGCATGCGGTTAATAAAAACACTAAGCGCCTCGGAGGAGCTTTCTCTGATTCATAAACGCAGTAAACACAGATGCTGAGCATTTCTGCCGTTATTGTCAAGGAAAAAGACACGCTTTGACCTTTTGTGAAACACTTCAAATAAGCTCTCTAACTGTGACAACGTGCCCCATTACAGTGGAAATGTGACATTAGAAAGCTTATTTTGAGCTTTAGAAAGCTAATTTTAAGCAAAAATGTAAGAGGCACACTTTTTTTTTTTTTTTAAATCAAAGTTGTAAATAAAATGTATTGGAGTACGTTTTGCAAGAAAATACAGTTTTAGTTTTTCTTCCTTAAAATTTGTTTAATTTAATGTGTTACTTGTATTTCTTTGTCAATATTTGTGACATTTACTAGCAATTTCTGAGTGAAAACGTTCTACATCAAGTTTTCTTTTTTCAGTGTACACTATGAAATGATTTTTCGAAGTTGTAAATAAAAGAAATAATTGGAGTATGTTTAACAAGAAAGTACTATTTCAGTGTTTCTACTTAAAAAACGTTAAATGTTTTTGCACTACTTTCTGTTTCTTTGTAATTATTTGTGTTAAATTTAAAAGCAATTTGTTAGTGAAAATTGTTTTGTCAAATTATTTATGAAATATAAAAGCTATCCTCTACATTAATAAAATTGGTGTATTTACTTTGAAACAATTTTCACTCAAGAAATACCAAGTAAAAAATCTGAAATTCTATTTTCTTGTAAAACATACTTTATTTACAACTTTGAAAAATCATTTTTTTTACAATGCATCTTATAGTTGTGTGACAACTAGCACCGATCTACTCTGTAACTAGTGTTTAAAGGTGTTTGCTCTTTGCTTAGAGCCCTCTGAGGAGGAAAGTCGATCCCTCTCTGTCGACTCGCCTCAGGTTTCCTTCTTTCAGTGCAGGTGAGGATCATCTCAGGTAACATGGGAGTTATTTAGCACGGTTTGTGTGCTATAACACTCAACTCACTCCAGCACGAGCTCAAATGTATTAGTGAAATAAATGTCATTCTGTTGTAAATTCTGGTGAATCACCTTCCCTTTGGGTGAAAGGTTTTTGAAGTGGAAACCATTTGCATCTCATCATGAATAATTTATGAGGCCTGCTCTGAGCTACAGTTTTCCTATTAAAACAAGACGCATTAAGAAAAGTAAATACTCCATTGCCATTTGCAGGGCCGTGACCTTAAAATCATACGGTTAATTCAAACAGGACTCTAAAACATAACATCTTTAAAAGTCATAAACATTTCTGGAGACTATGAATAAGAGCTTTTCTAGTTATGCACGGATAAAACGTTCTCTTTGGAAATGCAGTCTCTGTAAAATTACAACCGGGCAAGTCATAGAAATTAAATTGGAAAAAATAAATCATTTAATTAAAAATAAATATAATAACTCATTAAGGCATGAGAATCCTGTCTAAAACTTTCACTGGCATTAAAGTTTGATAATTCGACCAACTGAGAGCTTCGTTATCTTGAACGTTTTAAATCTTGAAAATAATTATGTAAATTGCACTGATTAATTTTAAATATGTTTTTTTTTATTTTACAAAATAATAATGTGCTTTTTACATACATTACCTTATGTGAAACAACTAGAGTACACCATAAAAACTGACAGGTTTCATCTGAAGTGCTGTCTGCACATCTGTGCATTGTGCTTGGGGGAGTGGCTATTGGCTCTAGCTCATGAATATTTAATTAACTAGGTGCAGGCAAGGAATGGCTATGTATATGGACTTTAATTAGTTGTTGTTGGTAATTAATATAGATTTGTGTGTGTGTGTGTGTGTGTGTGTGTGTGTGTTTGTTTACAGTCCTGATAACTGTTACGCTGTTTTCTAATCATTGAGTGTCCGCTGTAACTGAACTGACCCTTGTTCAGTGCACTTTTTTTTCAAGTTCATATTTTGGTCTGTTATAAATTAAAGACAGTAAGGCCATTCTTTACTTTTTGTTTGACTGTGTAATTTAAGTTGTACCTAAATAAAAACATTAAAGTGTCTTTGGGTTATGCTGACCACACACACACTGAATACTGAAAAAAAAACTGGTGTAGGATTTACTTTAGGATTTATTTAAAAATGTTCAATCTGAAATTGCTAGTAAATTTGACAAATATTTACAAAGAAATGCCAAGTATCACATTAAATTAAACATGACATTTTAAAGAGTTTTTTTTGAAGTGGAAAGACTTTAATAGGAGCCTATTTTTGTAAAAGGAACACCAATAATCTTTATTTAGGCTACACCTTATAAAAAGTATAAAATCTTTGCACTAACATGTTTTTCCGAAGTTCATAATTTTCCGCAAAAATGGAAACTTAATATAAAAAACAAAATTCCAAAAAAAAAAAAAGCAATTTTTCTGTGAATGTGCGAGACTTCCGGTTCATTAGTCGCTATAAAGAATAACAAAGGTAAAGCTATGCCTATTTACGCTACAAACTGGTTTGTTTATGGACTGGGTAATAAATGAAAATAATATGATAAGAAATAACAGTTTGCTTTATCAAGTAACACAACAGACTGTTTTTGTACAGGTAAAATAACTGGGAGCAAATGACACCGGATGTCTCGCACATAAATGTGACCCTGGAGCACAAAACCAGTCATAAGGGTCAATTTTTCAAAATTGAGATTTATACATCATCTGAAAGCTGAATAAATAAGCTTTCCATTGATGTATGGTTTGTTAGGATAGGACAATATTTGGCCGAGAAACTATTTGAAAATCTGGAATCTGAGGGTGCAAAAAAAATCTAAATACTGAGAAAATCACCTTTAAAGTTGTCCAAATTAAGTCCATAGCAATGCATATTACTAATCAAAAATTAAGTTTTGATATATTTACGGTAGAAAATTTACAAAATATCTTCATGGAACATGATCTTTACTTAATATCCTAATGATTTTTGGCATCAAAGAAAAATCGATCATTTTGACTCATACAATGTATTTTTGGCTATTGCTACAAATATACCCCAGCGACTTAAGACTGCTTTTGTGCTCCAGGGTCACATTTATCATGTGCATTTCTTTACTTTACTGAACTGTAGGGTTGGTTTACCTGTTCCGGCCCCTGGAAGCAAATCCTGCACACCGGGGTTCCTTCTGCATAGCTGATGAAGGATAATCTGTCATCCCTCCGGTCCTTGGGGAACTCTTCCGCCGCGGCGCCGGTCCAGGATCCGTCCGCAGCCGCCTCAGCGTCCTCTGTGGACGGGGTACTCCAGTGCCGGAGCCGGTGGGCTCGTAACGTGTTGTTGTTATCCGAGGAAAACGGGCTGATTCTGGCCGTTTGTCCGCTCATGGGGTTTGTAGGAGCCTGTGGCCCGAGCAGAAACACCTTGAGGTCACTGAAGAGAACGCAACAGCGGCTCTTCAGCATACTTCATCCAAGAACGGGGAAAATCGACGCTGTCCTGGATCAGTTAGCGCAGGTTTATGGACTCCCTGATAGTTTTTAGGCTGTGAAGAGCGAATGCGTGAAAGCCATTGTATTCCGCAACCCTCTACAATTGCAACTTAAGTGATGCATTAAAGTCGCGACATGCATTAAGTTTATTGCACTTTTGGAATTTAGCTTGAAGGTTTTTTCTCCGTTCTGTCACCAATGGAGTTTTGGTTCCTTGCCGCTGTCGCTCAGTATTGTATAAAGCGCTATGTAAAGAAAGGTGACTTGACTTAAAATCGTTTGCAAGTTAAATGGAGAAACAAAGATGCCTTTGTGAAATAAGTGCACGTCTATATTGCATTCTGAATTAAGTAAAAAAAAAAAATGAAATGGCAGTAAACAGGTGTCAGAAGCCATAAGATCGATTCATTCCATTGGGTTTGCATGGGATCTAGATGTCCTTCTGCAAAGTAAGTCGCATGCCACATGTGTTAAAGCATCCCTCAGTGGCGTGAAATCATTCAGTTCCGCGTCCAGGTGTCTGCGCCTAAAGGTTAAAGCGATACCTTCCGCGTTTCTGCAGGTGATGCTTCTTCGTGCGGACGCCGCATGTCTTCGGTCGCGTCGTGAGCAAATGTTATTCTGCGGTAGTTTTTCGCGTCGTGTTCGCACGATTCCTCGGGACAGTTCATCGGGGATGTGTAATCCGAGTTCAGGTTCCGCTGGACGGTTGCTCGTTGCGGCTGATGCGGCGGGTTCAGCACCGTGATTCCTGAAGTCTGGTGTGAACTGTGTAACTTTAATCATTTGCAGCGACAACAAAATGAACAGCATAGAAATAAAGGTCAAAAATTTAAAATTTGAAATTAGATCAAGCGCATTTTCGTGTATTTTTCATACTAATAATGAATTTTTGATTGTAGTCAGTTAATTAGTGACTGACATAAATCAGCCATGTAGTATATTTGTATTTATTTATTTATTTATTGATACCGATATTCAAATGTTTCTACCTGTAATTGATTTTTAATACAGGCCTAAACTTTACTAACATATGATATCCTTGAGCGAGTCTCTAATAATAAAAATCAATTACAGGTAGAAAAATGTGAATATCGGTATCAATAAATAAATAAAAACTTTCATGAAAATGCACTTTATCTATTTTCAAATATTCAAATATTAAAATTTTGTAGTTTTAAGTAAATATTTAATTTTAAAAAAGTGTTAATTTAAAATGTGTGCACATAACTGCTATTATTAAATTGAATTGTACTGTATAATAGTGTTTTGTGTGTTTAGAGACTCACTCAAGGGTGTCATTTACCAATTAAGTTCATATTAAAAATCTATCTTCATCTACCTCTCTAAGTAGCTAAATCTGGTGCAAAGCATCTCTTTTTTTATTTGTGTGTGTGTGTGTGTGTGTGGTCCCCGACAAATAAATAGACAAAAAGTTTTTTTAATATTATATTCATATTTTATATTCAAGTTGTATAATTTTATGAAACAGAATGGAATGTTTTAAAGTGAGAGAAAAACAATAATGCCACAAAGCATCACAGAATTCATTAAATCTATTGCTGAAAAGTACTTAAAAGTAATTTGTAATTATTGTGCTAATATATATTGGACGGTTTGTTATTTTTGTATGTTACCTCAGGAATCGTTTTGTATGTTATCTCTATCTATCTATCTATCTATCTATCTATCTATCTATCTATCTATCTATCTATCGACTTTTTATTGTATGTTTGCCGAGAACAGTCTAAGGCACCTTTGTTTATACAAATATTAACTTTTAAAAATAGCTAAGTAAGAAACGTATCGTGTAAGAAACAAATTCTGACGGCACCCATTCACTGCAGAGGATCCATTGGTGAGCAAGTGATGCAATGCTACATTTCTCCAAATCTGATGAAGAAACAAACTCCTCTACATCTTGGATGGCTTGAGGGTGAGTTCATTTATAGCACATTTTCATTTTTGGGTGAACTATTGCTTTAAAGGAAAACAGCTGCTGGCCTATAATATTTATGCATTTGTTGTTTATCACAGATCCCGCTACAAGGATGTGGAACTTCAGCCTTGAGGACTACCAGATGCTGAGCATGTCGCCATGAACGTTACTTAACATACTTAAGCTGTGATCGTATGCAAAAATACAACTGTTTCCTATAGCACAGGATGTAATGGAGTTTGCTTGTGTTTCAGTGGAGCAGGCAGCGAGTCCCCTCCGTCTCTCTCAAACCTCTGGATGGGATGGAAGGGCTGAATATTTCAGCGTCCACCAGTCGACCCAAAGATGCAGCAGCCCTGGCAGCTCTGATGAGGCTCTGTCAGGGTTGGCAGAAACCAGGTGCCACAGTAAAGGGGAAGTGCGTTTTAGTGTCTCGCTGGCGGTTTGAGGTGGATATTGGATACCAGGCCGATGTTATTGAAATCTTCAAGAAAATGCCATCCAAAAATTATGGTGAGTGTAATACAGTGGTGGCCAGAATTATTAGAACACTAGTATTTTCACCTGCTAAAAATGGTTTTAAGTCAGTTATTTCTATTTTTTGCTGTAGTGTGCCAGTAGGAAATATCAGTTTACATTTCCAAACATTCATTTTGTGACTAATTGTGGTAATCCAGTGAGATCCAGAACTGTGGCAGCGTCTCCAAGATGCTTCAAGCAGTAGTCACGCATTGCAAATCATTTGTTTCAGAGTGGGATTTTGGAGCGGGTTCGCGAATCATTTGATTTAGATTGGAGCTTCGAATCATTTGATTCAGATTGGGACATCGGAGCGCGAATCGCGAATCATTTGTTTTAGATCAGAATTTCAGAGCGGGTTCGTGAATCTTTTCTTTTAGATCAGAACTTTGGAGCAGGTTAGTGAAACAACATTTCACAAATCAATTTGTGCGGGTTTGCGAACATTTTAAACCTGGACTTTGGAACGCGTATCACAAAATCATTTGATTCAGATCGTGACTTCTGTGCGGTATTGCGAATCATTTAATTCAGAACGGGACTTCGGTGCGGTATCGCGAATCATTTGATTCAGATCGTGACTTCGGTGCGGTGTCGCGAATCATTTGTTTCAGATCGTGACGTCGGTGCGGTATCGCGAATCATTTGATTCAGATCGTGACTTCGGTGCGGTGTCGCGAATCATTTGTTTCAGATCGTGACGTCGGTGCGGTATCGCGAATCATTTGATTCAGATCGTGACTTCGGTGCGGTATTGCAACTAACTTGATTCAGATCGTGACTTCGGTGCGGTATTGCGAATCATTTGATTCAGATCGTGACTTTGGTTCGGTATCGCGAATCGTGTGATTCAGATCGTGACTTCGGTTCGGTATCGCAAATAATTTGATTCAGATTGTGACTTCGGTGCGGTATTGCGAATCATTTGATTCAGATCGTGACTTTGGTTCGGTATCGCGAATCATTTGATTCAGATTGTGACTTTGGTTCGGTATCGCAAATCATTTAATTCAGAACATGACTTCGGTGCAGTATCGCGAATCATTTGATTCAGATTGTGACTTTGGTTCGGTATCGCAAATCATTTAATTCAGAACATGACTTCGGTGCAGTATCGCGAATCATTTGATTCAGATTGTGACTTTGGTTCGGTATCGCAAATCATTTAATTCAGAACATGACTTCGGTGCAGTATCGCGAATCATTTGATTCAGATCGGGACTTCGGTGCGGTATCGTGAATCATTTGATTCAGAACGGGACTTCGGTGCGGTATGCGAATCATTTGATTCAGATCATGACTTCGGTGCGGTATCGCGAATAATTTGATTCAGATCGTGACTTCGGTTCGGTATCGCGAATCATTTGATTCAGAACGGGACTTCGGTGCGGTATCGCGAATCATTTAATTCAGAACCGGACTTCGGTGCGGTATCGCGAATCATTTAATTCAGAACCGGACTTCGGTGCGGTATCGCGAATCATTTAATTCAGAACCGGACTTCGGTGCGGTATCGCGAATCATTTAATTCAGAACCGGACTTCGGTGCGGTATCGCGAATCATTTAATTCAGAACCGGACTTCGGTGCGGTATCGCGAATCATTTAATTCAGAACCGGACTTCGGTGCGGTATCGCGAATCATTTAATTCAGAACCGGACTTCGGTGCGGTATCGCGAATCATTTAATTCAGAACCGGACTTCGGTGCGGTATCGCGAATCATTTAATTCAGAACCGGACTTCGGTGCGGTATCGCGAATCATTTAATTCAGAACCGGACTTCGGTGCGGTATCGCGAATCATTTAATTCAGAACCGGACTTCGGTGCGGTATCGCGAATCATTTAATTCAGAACCGGACTTCGGTGCGGTATCGCGAATCATTTAATTCAGAACCGGACTTCGGTGCGGTATCGCGAATCATTTAATTCAGAACCGGACTTCGGTGCGGTATCGCGAATCATTTAATTCAGAACCGGACTTCGGTGCGGTATCGCGAATCATTTAATTCAGAACCGGACTTCGGTGCGGTATCGCGAATCATTTAATTCAGAACCGGACTTCGGTGCGGTATCGCGAATCATTTAATTCAGAACCGGACTTCGGTGCGGTATCGCGAATCATTTAATTCAGAACCGGACTTCGGTGCGGTATCGCGAATCATTTAATTCAGAACCGGACTTCGGTGCGGTATCGCGAATCATTTAATTCAGAACCGGACTTCGGTGCGGTATCGCGAATCATTTAATTCAGAACCGGACTTCGGTGCGGTATCGCGAATCATTTAATTCAGAACCGGACTTCGGTGCGGTATCGCGAATCATTTAATTCAGAACCGGACTTCGGTGCGGTATCGCGAATCATTTAATTCAGAACCGGACTTCGGTGCGGTATCGCGAATCATTTAATTCAGAACCGGACTTCGGTGCGGTATCGCGAATCATTTAATTCAGAACCGGACTTCGGTGCGGTATCGCGAATCATTTAATTCAGAACCGGACTTCGGTGCGGTATCGCGAATCATTTAATTCAGAACCGGACTTCGGTGCGGTATCGCGAATCATTTAATTCAGAACCGGACTTCGGTGCGGTATCGCGAATCATTTAATTCAGAACCGGACTTCGGTGCGGTATCGCGAATCATTTAATTCAGAACCGGACTTCGGTGCGGTATCGCGAATCATTTAATTCAGAACCGGACTTCGGTGCGGTATCGCGAATCATTTAATTCAGAACCGGACTTCGGTGCGGTATCGCGAATCATTTAATTCA